TTCTTTGTATCTTTATTTCTACCTTTGTGTTTGTTCCTTCTCTTGTTCTTGGGGGGGACCGCCATGAGCGGCAATGCATGGGGGGTCTAGGGGGTGTGGCAAAGACGGGATGCCGTGGAATGTGTGTTGATTTGTTTATTATTTTTTTTCTTTCTAGGGKTTTTTTTTTTTTTTGTCTCTAGGGGTCTTTATGTTTGTTCCTTCTCTTGTTTGTCGTTGTGGTTGTTGTGGAACTTGTGTTCGTTCCTGTCACTATCCATCTTTTACAGGTTGATTCGTCGGTTGTTCAGTAACTCCGGTGCAGTTCTTTGTCGTTGGTGTCGAAGTTCGTTTCAGTTCACCCCTTCTGCGGATTTCATTCGGTCYCCACAACATGTCTGACCCTCGAGGGAATAACGGGAAGGGCCCCGCGGAGTCCTCCTCAGCAACGGGGAAAAAGGCGGAGGGTAGTAGAAAATGTCACAAGACGAAGACCTTTGACTCCCCTTTTAAGGTGGATCCAAAGACGGATGGAAAACGAGATGATCCTGTTTGGCATTTCGTTGCTCGTGGTCGTTATTTAGATGGATCCACTGCGATCGAGAGGAAGAACGGTCGCCGTTGTTTGTGCAGGTTATGCGGTCGTTCTCTATGTGGGGGTGCTCGTGAGGCAAAGGAACATTTTTTTCGTGGCGAGGGGTATAGATGCCAAGTGGCCACTCCGGCGGTGTGGCACGCGATTTGGTCGAAGGATATGTCCAAGTGTCCTGCACATTTGGCTTCTGTCGTGCAGGCCTTGCAGAGTCTCCCTCTAGGTCATCCCTCTTTTCAATGGTCACCTCTTCGTTTTCCCGATGACGTCGTTCCGCCGCCCCCGTCGACCGCTGCCCCCTCGCAAGTGGCGTCATCTCCATGTGCACCACTTGCTCCCCTCCCCCCTCGTCCGCTTCGTCAGACGATTCTCGCATCCATTGATGGCAGACCATTTGTGGCAACGCAGCCTGATGCGCAAGGCATCGTGCCAGTTTCAGGTGTCGGGGAACCTGTGCCGTTCGACGAGCAAGGCACTCGTGCTTTCGTCGAGGGCGGTGGGTGGGGGAAGGACGCTGGCACATCATCAAGCCTCGCCCCGTTATTCACTGGCAACAGGGACAAGGTCCCAAGAGTTCGACGCACAGACACACGTCCGGCCGTGAGAGGAGCACCCGCAACAGGACATCAATCCGCTGCGTATCCATGGTTCCCTCCCCCTCCTTCGCAAACACGACGGCCTACACCAGACTTAACTTCGGCACCTGTTGGCGAGGCCGCTGCAACGGCCACTGAGGGTGCGGGAAACGTCCAGCTCGACGAGCCCGTCCAGGTTTCGGATTCGTCACCCACTCCTGTGCCCGTGAACGGCCCGACCTCGCAGCATGGTGTTTTTGGGACACTGGATCCTTTACAGAATCTGCGCCACATTGCAGCTCCGAGTCCAGGCCCCACCGCATCACCTGCGGCCGGGGGCGGGGTGTGGGATTCGCTAGGTATGGGCGCCGGTGCACGAGTGAGGGGCACTTACAGACAGCAGGCGGTGACCTCGTATTACAACGACCCGCTGGAGCACGCATGGCACCTGCAGATCATGCGATTCATTGTCGAGAGCGGCATGCTGTTCAACTGTGTGAAGCTTGAGAGCTTCAAACGCATGTTGACGTTGATCATCCCGCCTGGGGTTCCAGGTGTCCCCACCCCAAAACCCCCAACGTATCACATGATCCGTACCACACTTTTGGATGAGCTTGATGTGGAACTCCAAAAGTGTGTGAAACCTGTCCTCGCTACTGCAGCTACCTACGGTTGCACGATAATGACAGACGGTTGGACCAACATTCGGGGCCAAACGTTGTGCAACTATCTCGTCGGCACTACACGGGGCGCCACATACATCGCGACAGATGTTGTGCGAGGAAAGAAGGATGCCACTGCTCTGGTGCAGGCTTGGCTGCGAAGGTTCCCTTGACATCAAGCTCGTCGACATCACCGCTTTCGTCACAGACTCTGCCAGTTCGAACGTTTCTGCGATGGAGGTGTTCCAAAAGGATGAGAGTGTCAAGCACATCTTCTGGATTCCTTGTGTGGCACACGTCATGGACCTCATCCTTGAGGACATCGGCGACATTGACTGGGTGGCGACCCGCATTGCTCAGGCGCGTTTGGTCACAAAGTTTTTCAAGCGTCATAGCGACGCTCGCGAAGTTTTGCAAGCTTTCACGACGAAGGCTCTGCTGCTTCCCGCCGAGACTCGCTTCGGTATGCATATGATTATGATGCGACGACTTCTTCTGCTGCAATCGCATCTTATGCAGGTGGTCGTTGATGATCGATGGAAGGACACTGTTTTGTCAACGAAGAAGATTCGAGACGACGCCACGGAGGTCACAGCATGTGTCGGTTGTCCTCAATGGTGGGAGGATATTAGAGCGTTGTGCAAGTTGTTGGATCCCATTATGGACATGCTGCAGATGGTGCACAGCGACACGAGGCAAATTGGCAAGATTCTGCGTCAGTACGACGAGATGATCGTCCGTTGTTTGTCTGCATGTGCCGCTTTGGAGAAGGACGAGCAGGACGCGCTGCTTGAAGTGTTTGACAGACGCCGCACCATGTTCAAGTCGCCTGCTCATGTTGCTGCCATGATGTTGGACCCCGAGTTTYGAGACCGCACGATGCCAGATGACGAGGAAATGCAGCACGGTTTGAAACTCGCTCTGATTCAGTTTGGRTACCCGGAACATTCGGATCAGCACACCGAGGTCCTCACTGCCATTGACAAGTTCCATTCCAGGGAGCCGCCGTTCGACGACGTGGCCATGGACTGGGCGGCGAGGAGCTATACCCATCCAGCCTGTTTCTGGGAGTCGAAGGAGAAGAGGTTCCCGCACACGGCCTTCTTCGCTGGCAGGATACTGCGTGTGTGGGCGACTGCGTCGCCTTGCGAGAGAGTTTGGTCCCGTTGGAGTTTCATCCACTCCAAATCTCGTAACAGATTGGAGGTGGCGCGGGCCGAGAARCTCGTGCGATGCCATTGGAACCTTCGGCTCCTCGACAGGCAGGCTATGTCGGACGATGCTCCCAGTGACAGGCCACATCCGTATGGGAGCTGGGTGCACTACTGGCAGCAGGTGGAGGAGGAGGTGCCCACCGACCAGCAGCTTGTGGCAGACCGAGGAGCCCGCGTGACAGTCACGAAGGAGGAGTTGAYGCAGGCGAGAGAGAGGATGCGCGTCGTGTCCCGCATGGGAGCCACTCGTCGCTTGCGGGAGTCTGACAGGAGGAGGTGTCGTGGCGGCGGTCGCGGAGGTGGTCGTCGGGGCGGTCGCGGGGGAGGTGGGCGTGGAGGTCCTGGCGGGAGGCGTAGTGTCGCGAGTCGTGGAAGGGCAGTGGACGAGCTAGTACGCAAGCCTCGACAACGATGGGATGAGGGAGACTTTTTGTACGAGAGCTCGTCCAGCGATGACGAGAATTTCTTCGGGACTGGCAGACCTGCACAGGATGGCGACAGCGATTTCGACGACCGTCACCCGAACGTGGGCGACGACGATGGCGCCAGTGGCGATGATCACGGTRACGGAGGAGATAGGCCAYSACCTGCACATGGTGACACGATGYGCGCCRAYGGGGCAGGGGGCGAGCACCGCACAGCAGTAGATGACGCTCGAGATGGAGTGCATGATGATGGTTCACGAYYTGTCTCGGGCGGTRACCKGAGGCGCTTGAAACGCGGACCAAGGGAAAAAGACACTATCGCTTCACGTGTGCGCAAACGTCATGGTAGGGTTGCTAGCATTCCACTATCACGAGTCCCCGCAACTGGGCAGATTCCAGTTTCTGAGGACTCTTTCAGCGATCACGGCGGCGAGGAGCGGATCGAGCTGCATGGCGGGAGCGGTCATCCACGAGGTGACACTTCGAGTATGCACGCGACAGCTCCGATGGGGCCTTCCTCAGCAGTCCCAGAATCGCAACAGGGTCCAGCACCGTTGATGCGTCATCCCGAGGTTCAGGGAGAGATCARTCCTCTCCCGGCAGTGCGGGAYGAGGGTTCTGTCGGTGCACTGCATCCACTCACGTCTGYCGGAGCGGCRRTCTCAGCTGCAGCGACCTCGGATGTGGGACAACCACTGGCAGCGGCGGAGCAAGAAAGTATGCTCCCACCTCGCAGTGTTCAACCGCGGCCACCGCCTGCATTGATGGAGGGGAGTCAGGGGACCGTTGTTGTGTGTCAAGGCG